ATTTATTTATTTAGAATTTACAAACAAACAATTATGATTGGTTTAGAAGAAATAATAATATGAAAATTCTAAATGTGTTAAACTAATGTGAAAAGAAAATTATATCCAACATGTGGGATATTTTATCGAAATTATGGTAAGTAGTAGTGGTAACTGATACTTTTACCGTTAAAAAAAGCTGCTTGATTTGTTCCGAAAACATTTGTGATGAAACAGTTCTTTTTTTCTTTCAATGAAAACATAAAAATAAGGTTACTTAAATCATAGTACCATGCGTTTTTTTCCTTGTGAATGTAAAGAAAATAATAATACATTATACATGTTATAAGCTATGCAAATGAATTTATTAGAAGCGCACATTCTGAACTTCTGATCGATTTCGCGAAGCAATAAATTGTTCAGTTTGAAGATAGTCTACATTATTGGCTAATTATAACCAGAATAAGCAGTTTTCTACTTCCCCCCGGTTTTCCAACATTATCTGTGCACAACAAGATTACTCATCTTTCAACAACTTTTATCAAAACTTATGGATCAATAAATAGTCTATATTTTGATGGAGAGAACAAAACTCCATCAAAATCACCCACCTGAGCTACAAATCTTCTCCACCATCTCAAAACAGTCTATAATTTTTTTATTATTACAACTCGTTTATCAACAAGGTTGAACTTTTCTAGTTACAACTTCTTGCTAGAACTTGGGGAATTACTGCTTGAAATGTAAACTATGTAATTATAGTGAGAAGCCTTGACCAGTGGAAGTTAACCTTGTCTGGAGTAAGGTAAAAATAACCAGTGTAAATGGATGATTGTGTTACAATAAAGTTGATGCAGTGGTCTAAATGGTAAAAGTACATTGTGATAACTGTAATTCTTGTGTTCAATTCTTGGAGGGGTCCTAGATGTTTATTAATGAGAACTCCGACAGGAAAATGAAATATCTATCCAGTGCTTCTTAGTCTCCACTGATTGTATAATCATAGTCAGTCTGTGATGTAAAACTTCGAAGTCAATATACATAAGTCTATACGTATGTGAACATTAGTACAAGTCTATATAACTAAATCTATGTATTGAAAATCTAACGGTAGGTAGTGGATGTGAAAGAGAGCATAGAAAATAATTTACTAGTAGATTGTTAGCATAACAAGGAAACTGACTAGTTTCACGTGAATGTATACCATGTCATATACACAGTCATCCACTTAAAAATGCAAACGTACACATACACCAAATTCCTTCAGCATATATACAAAAATCAAAAACAAAAACTTCAATTTTTTCTTCAAAAATTCAAAATAATCAATTTCACTTCAATCTATCCTACCAAAAGACAAAATACTTTATCTGGTTAATATTTTATTTGTTTTGTCTCCCTTTAATTCTTCCCTCATGAATATTTTTTCAAGCATAAGAGCATGGATACAATTGTAATCTGATATGAATGTTTATTATATTTTTTCTTTTCGATAGCAACAAATTAATGTAACTAGTACTTTTAAAAGTTGTTTCCTTCAAAAATTATTTTTTCTTTATTGTTATCTTGATATACTACAGACTGATTAATTTCTAATTTAGAATAATAATTTTTGTTTTTCAAAAAATAGTTTCTCTGAGTAACCTATGGATTATTTTCTCGGTCAATGAGTATATCATTGGCGTCCTGTTTAAACATCTGGGCTACCTGTTCCTGTCATCTAGATATTTCAACAAGTTATCTAATTTCGTTTGCTTTAATACATCATTATGTCTATTAATCGCACAACCTATTCAGTTGCGTTTCTGAAAAGTGTAAGACCTTTCGCTGTAAAGGTTACAGAAGGTCTAATCAGAGATATCGTGGTTGCTGGCAATATGCAGCGACAAGAATGTACATTATTTAGATGTCGATTGACTGGGCTGCTAAGTTCTAACTGGCGATCACTCAATATTTATCGTCAGGAAGGACGAAGAAGTAAGAAACGGAAACTTGTTGAAGTACTTTGTGCTTAGAATTCTATATTGTACCAAAAATATAATATTGAATAAAGCTAATAATAATAATAATAACTTAACGAATAAAAAACATAAATATTTATACCTGAATAGAAAAACGTTTTTTACAATGTAAATTTCGACATCAAACAATTTATCAAAAATATGATAATTATAAACCTAGAGAAAGTTGGTATTTATGATTATGATTAAAATTTGTAACTTTTTTGATAAGTCTTGCTGATTGAACGCTATACTCGGATCCTAAGCTAGTCTTGTAACACCAAAGCTAGAACTACACAGTGACTTGAAAACGACGAGAGAAAAAATGCAAAATATGCGAGAAGCAATTTACTCCAACGGTTTATTTATGTACAGAAAATATAGGGTTTTTATAGTATTTTAGAAGTCCTTTGGTTTACCCGAATATTCTAAAATACTACTAAACATAGTAGCAGTTTAGTAATCAGCTAATCAGAACTTCTACATGTGACTTTTCATTTTCGCGATATTTCTAGCCAAATTTCTAATCAAACGCTGATTGGATAAAATGCTTCTTAGTGTTTCTTGAGCTTGTCATATCTATTGCGAGAAATTTTCAGGATCATTCCAACGCATTCAATATCATTTTTCAAACATTTATATTGTATTCATAAAGTTTTGACTAACTCGTTGAAAATGTAATTGATTTATTTTATCTTGGGTTATTACTATGACAACTATTTTTTTTAAATTTTTAGTGAATATGATGTTAGTTATTAGAATTTTACTGCTAACATTCATCTAAACTACTCTGATAATGTTACATTATATCACTTCACAATCAAATGATTGAACATTATCAATGAATACTTCAGTATAAAACTAATCCTTTCTCTGGTAAATAAATTTAATTCAAAAATTGATTAAACTTGAAAATCAATGAACTTCGTTAGACAACTTTAATTTATAATTAAATACATTAAATGGCATCACTTAAAATGAATACCCGTTACTATTGATACTATCCGTACTTATATTATTTCAAATCTTTGATAGGAAAATTATTTCAAATTTTTTCACTTTTCAACTTTATTCATTTTTTAAAACTACATTATCCAGGTTTAATCCAATACTACTATTGTAGTGAACAAAAACACTAATTGGGGACAATCGAATGTATTTAGACACAAATTACAGACTATCTCACTTAAATCTGATAACTATACAATGAAGAGTTAATTTGCGAAATAGCAATCAATTGTTCCAATCTTCACTGTTCCTTCTGCAAATATCAGTCCATCTTCTCTAACTCCATTGTTCATGCATTTTCATACCGATTACGCTTCATTTCAGTTATTTCCTTATCGATCTTCTGCCAAAATACATTCTATGTCTGATCATCGCCATATACTACCTTTATAGATATAAGTAGAACATACCACACTATTACTATCGTAATTTCAACAACTGTCGAATTCACATTGATTTACAGATGTGAAAAGTAGACATTATAAAGTCTCCTTTAAACCGGTAATGATTGAGTAAATTAATTTAGTTTATTCAGGATTTAACCAGTTAGCTTAATGTAAAATTCATAGGTCTTATGAACGATATCTTAAGTTAATTATTAATTTATCTATTTCTCCGCAGTTAGGAATTAAATTATCAACTGTTTTTTGAGTTTTATTTTAGTTTCTTTATAAAGTATAGTATGACCGCATTTAAATTATTACACATTAACATTTAGAAATGATTGTTTGTTTCTTGTTTAATTATAGTGTTAAATCAATTGTTTATATGTGTAAAATGAGCATTTTTAATCTTCATCTATAGAGTTGTGGGACAATCAATATCGGCTTCTTCGTTGATTCAAGTGAAATTTTAATTGATATCATGAACCGATCATTGTTAGACTATCATTGAAAACCTGGAAGCACTGGATGGCCATTTCGTCCTATTATGAGAATCCTCAGAAGTGAGTAGTCACGGTCTCACACCCTGGACTCGAACCCAGGACCTTCGGTCTGGTGTGGTTTAACATCGATTGGTTTATGATGTCAATTAAGGCTCAACAATTTCCACAACTCTACACTAATAATTTTAGTGAAGTTTCATGAGTCTCACTGGAATATTCGAATATCAGTCTTTTGTTGAATAAAACACTAACTATTGATCAATGTAAGCTAATAATAATTGGGATATTGATTAAAAACTAAGATAGCTTAAGATAGAAACTAATAAAAATTTTTTTTTAAATCTTACCGGTTCTACGCATGAATTAACTTTGATAGTCAGTTGCTAATTTCAACTTCTTTTGAGTGACCTATAAAACCCTAATTGTTTGTTTAAAATGTTTATTAGTCATGTTCAGTCTTGTTAGAAAAAATCTCTCACTTACCAGTTGTTTTGTTGGTATACTAGGTATCAACAACTCGGTTTAAGTAAATAATTATTGTCACATTGTATCCATCAGATCGTGTAATAAAATAGTAAACTGTATAACCATGAAAACACTCATATATCTGTGGTGTATGCTACTTACGTTGATAGATATAAGTAGCATATAGCACCAATCGGAAGTAGAATGCATGTCAGTAGAATACTGAGAAGATTCAATTGAAGAACGCAAAAATTGATTGTAATAATAACAGAATTGGAACAATCATGAAGGATGTAAAAGAAAACTAATGAAACATGTGCAAGTTATGTATTTAGTGTATGGCTTTCATATTTTACGAAAGCACTCTGTAATTGTGCAATCAACAGTAAATTTGTCTTTTCTATTTGATTTTGCTTTCACTACATATCCTCTGTAAACAAACTAATGAACGATTATCCTAATTGTTTGGTGTTTCACTCATAAAATATATGATTATCTTTACCAAAGGTGAGTCAATTAAGTAGACCAGGCAAAATATCAATGATTATTACCTTACCTCAATTATTTATACCCCGATTTTAATCTTACTTTCAAGTAGACTCCCCATTACTTGTTCACCTCTCTAATTTTCATCGTTATTTTTTTCAAAAATTATTTTTTAGTTAGTAGTGCGTGTATTTCGTCCGGATAGAACAACTAAAGCAATATTAATTGAACATCAAATGACCGCTGGCGAAGTGGCTACTATGATGATTGAAAAGAATTTCTTACAACCTTCAGTACATTTAGCTTTGGTCGAAAAAGTTCCGGCTTTAAAAATAGGTAAAACAAAAAAAACTAATTGAATTTCCATCAAACATTTTTTTCATTATGACACTTGATTCTGATTTCTATTTCGTAATGTACAATAACATTATACTCTTAGTTTGTTTAAGTTAACATATTTACAGTCTGTTATCGTTCGCATAGTTTTCAAAATAAAGACTTATCTAGCATTCACTTAGTATTGTTTGTTTGGATCTTCCCATCGATGTGTTTAGGACTGCAACTGGTCAGTCTCTAATTGGCATATGTGCATACTGTGCGTATTGCCTCGATATACCTTAATCATCGCACAAGCAAGTGGCTATCAGGACTCAGTGGCCGAGTGGATAACGCGATGGCGTTTGAAGCGAGGGTACTGGGTTCGAGTCCCAGAGTGAACATCAACTCTGAGATGCAGGTACATCCAGCTGACGAGTCCCAAATAGGACGAAACGCGCGTCCTGGATTCCACTGCTAGCCACTATCCATCTCTGCTTACTTATCTAGCAGTTGGAAGATTGTCAATATATTCGAACATGTCTCGAATTTCCTTGATACATCAACATGCGTTTGTACACTTACATCATCCATGTTCAGCTTGAGAAAAATATCATCTATACCGATGGATAATAGTCATGTAATGTCATGAATCTACTGAAGTTATAAAGGTAGAACTCAAAGATTTGAATATCAGTACTTTCCACAAGGACTAAAACGCCTAAATTCGATTTCAAAAGACATCTTGAACGATCATTGCAAGTGGATGAAACAGCCGTTCAATTCACTTCGATTTTTGATAGTTGTCTTATCAGGATTAGTCAGTAGTATGAAACTATGAAATTCAATAGTGTATATAACTCTCTAAAATAAAACACATATTACTGAACCATACAAAGCATTTACTTAAAGACACATTTATTCTCAGTCATTCTTTATACCATTAACATCACAAATCGATCTAAGTTTAACAACCACTGAAAACCTCGAATCATTAGACAGCTATTTTGTTTTCATTATTCCTTTAATAATGAACGAAAATACCTTTTCGATATCATCTACTGACTGAAACTTTTTCTGTCGCATCAGCTTTCATTGAGATTTTTAGATATAAACAGAGAGGTTATACTCTTATCTGTTAAGCTTGTGATTAAGTAATTTAGTATTAAAACATTGTTGCTACTGACTAGTGTTTTAAGCACAAATCTTAAATTATTGAATTTTCTATTAATATAATTGAAAAACTCTTAGATAAGATTAAATAAGTCTTCTTTATTATATTGTTACCCATTATCGTCAATAACTGTTGTTACAATGTAGTTGATAAAAGATTTCATCTACCATTTGCCTAAAGTTGACAGTATCTTATAATTTATTCATTCTAACTAGTGATATAAACGTCATATTGCAATGATTCAGTTCAAGGGAAAGTCATCTAAGAATAACTTCAGGATATATAATAACAGTATTGGATTTATACATGTTTGTTTTTCAGTCTTGATTTTAAGTGAACAAACTTTACAATTTCCTATATCATCTCTAATCGAATTTTTGTCTAAGTTATTATAAAGCTAATCCAATCAGTCATGAAATAATGTTCATAAGAAAGAATGTATTTTTAATATTGACACAAGTTTTTCTTGTGAAAGTTTACGCGTATACAACTTTCATATTTTTAACAATTAAAATCAACCATAATATATTTTTACGATGTATCTTTTGTTTTATTCTATCGTTTCCTCTTGTAGAACGAGTATTTGAAGAACATGACATTGTGTCTGATTGTATTTTATCTTGGCCAACAAAAAGTCAAAATATGATCTTCTTTGAAGAACGACCGGATCACTTTGGTCTTATTGAATCACCAGATGTATGTTTTGAAGTAATATTTACTTAAACTGTAATAAATTCACTTTTTCATTTCGATCATACTGCAATCTTAAATGACCAAAACACAGAGTTTCATGAAATCGTAATGAGGATTCAATTTTCACATGCATAATTACTCAGAATTCGAGCCGTGAACGACATATAATACACTCTGAGGACCTTGCAAATTGCACAAAATGCTTTAGGTTCAGATTTTACTTTCTCCATTTCTTACTTAGTCTTGATTATTAATTGGTTCCATCAGGACTGAAATTCAAATCATGAGGTAAAGACATTGATTTTAGTTACATATTTAGAACTGTGAGTCGGCTTTTAAATGTGTATATTTATGAAAGGTTTAGATTATAAAAATAAGGTAAAAATACAAAAATCACCTTTCTCGTCACTTATGCTTCTACATCTACGGATGACCTGTCCCTCGTTAATCTAAATCATCAAATTACAACTCCTGACTTAAGTATTCACTTTGTTCAGTACACAAAATCGCACGGTATTGTTCACTGTTGATTTATAATTAAAATAAGAAAGAGCTAGGCCAGTTGTTTTTATCTTACATTAATAGTAAATTGTTAACCTTATAGGCAAAGAAACAATGTACTGACAGTTTAATACTCTCATTATTCGAATGATTTAAATGATGAGAGTCTATTAATGTTTAGATTGAAACCATTCATTCATTCTAATTGAACGGTGAACGCGATTTCCTTTGAAAAGGTTATATATGCTTGTAAATTTACATTTTATTCCCTTTCCATCTTACCTAAGACTTATAATACATCTTCAGATGAGTATAGACGCAGAAATTAAGCAAATACAGTTCTAAGTATAAACATCAGAAAAATAAAAGCTTTGAATATTAACAATAAAATTCAACGCTAAGAAAATAACATTTTAGCATAATTTGAAGTGCTTTTAGTAATTAGAGCTAAATAACAAATTATATTGTCCCTATTACGCTGAATATAACTGAAAGTCATACAATACATCCTATGAGTAAACATGTAAAACAAGACAAGAAAGTTGTATTTCCAAACATTTATACAGTTAAATTAACTCTAAAATCGATTACCTTATTAATTATCGATAAATATCAATTATCAAAAAATTGTATTATCATCATTATTATCATTAGCTTTATTTAATATTATATTTTTGGTACAATATAGAATTCTTAATACAAAGTATTTCAACAAGTTTCCGTTTCTTACTTCTTGATCGATCCTGACGACAAATATTGAGTGATCGCCAGTAAGAAGTTAGCAGTCCACTCAATCGATATCTAAATAATTTACATTCCTTTCGCTACATATTGCTTGCCAGCAACCCCGATATCTCTGACTGGGCCTTTGTAACTTGTACAACGAAGATTTGCACACTTTTGAGAAACGCACTTGAATAGGTTATGCAATTAATAGACATAATGATGTATTGAAACAAATAAAATTAGATAACTTGTTGAAATATCTAGATGACAGGAACAGATAGCCCACATTTTCAAGCAGGCCGTCTTTTACATGTTTTTAATATTGTAGACTATTTAGATGATTATTTTATTATATGCTACATTTACACGGTTATCATAAAATTTACACTTACGTCGAATGTAAATTATCAGACAAGTTTGACTGATGATCATACCATATAAAACTTTTTCATATCAAAACTTAAGTGAAATATTAATGCAAATTCGAAACAAAAATTATTATGAAACACTATTAAGTACATAAAGCATTTCTATAATTGAAGTTTCAGTTTATTATGACATTAACTGTTGAGTTTAAAAAAAGATAGTTCCCATTATAAAGAACTTAACACGATAAAAGAAAGTCAATACTGTTGAATCCGACGTAACTATGCGTAGGTTTTAGTCCAAAGTGGACCTTCTGCTTCCTTGAGAATTCACATACACTTTTCTGAAAAGTTCCAAATTAGCGTTAAAACTGGATTCAGAGCTTTTATCAATCACTTAATACCAGTGACTGAGTTGACGAACTGCAATATAGCTCATTAAAGAAAATATGTGAAGAAAAATCCAATGTGAATTACTTAACACATAATTTATATATACGACTATCCAACTTTAGAAATATTGTAATATAAGCAACTATTTGCATACATCGTTGTAAACAATTTATACAATTTGCTTTTTTACTGACTGGTAAATTGTGTGTTATGTCAGAACAACTTGTAACTGCAATAAATATACGTTAGTTATCAAGAAGCCCAATATCTATAAAATCTATTTGATAATCATCAATCAGAAATATAAGCAGATTAAAAATCATTATTTACGTATAAAGAAATTCGTACACTGTTGAAGATAAACAGAATAGGGTTGTTCATATTTTAGATTGGTACCTGAAAATTTGTCTCCTATTTTAGTGATAAAAACACCTTTCTGTAGGTATTGAAATATATATATATATATATAGTGCATGTGTACACCTAATTTTTATGCTATCCAAATGAACGAATGATGGCAATAAAGTAGATTATAAAGAATACATTATGAAACAAATTGAATATATTATTTCATTAATTAAATGTAATTTTATAAAAAATATTTTCATATCATTCAAGTATTAGGGAACACTTTTGAGAAATATCTTATTGATACCATGACGAATTGATCAAGCTAAAATACTATCAATTGTCAGATCATAACTATGATTTACTAAGAGATCGAAAGATTCTGTTTATAATCGTACTGATGATCTTAATATCAGCAACTCAATCAATATCAACTGAACAATAGAATTACAAATGTAACATTTGTTAAATCTAAATTGCATCATCAAAAGTACTTATAATCATCCAATATTATGAATATGATTTATTTAGCATAGATATATTATTGAATACATAGAAGAAAAAGAACTTCAAGAATTATTTCAAGAACTATAGCCTCTACCGAGAAAGTCCTACTCACTGCCTTCTCGTGGCGGAGATGTTGTTTACGAAATTGAGAGGACGAAAAGTGAATGTCCGGCGCTTTAACCGGGTTGGTGAACACTAAAAGTTCACCTAGAGGAGTTGGAAAACCCTAATTCCAAACTAATGGTGCACATCGGCTCCAGTATCCTGAAGGAACAAATGGCGTACGAACCAGTCCTCGGTCACCGGTCATCATGGGACTGCATCTCCTTACGATGCTCCACTGCTTTGTGGATCAGATCTTTAGGTCAAAGGCTCCAGGTGTGGCCCCCTAAGAAAACCACCTGTTTCAGTTTGAGCACCTGAGCAGTATCGTAGCCCTCACACAAATCAAATGAGATTTGTGTGGCATATATATATCTGGTGCCCCTTTGTACCAGTATTTATGTGTTCAAATAAATAAAACGTGTTTTAACGTTTCAATGAATCCACTTTTTTAATATAAGAAAATACTATCGTTTTGTTCTTTTTCTAATGACAAACCTTTATTGATGGGGGATTATTATGAAATTCATTAGAAGTTTTATTTATCTCATTCCAATTCATATAATTTAAAAGTATCGTCTTTGTAGTGATAATCAAATTCTGATTGTCTATTCACTTTTTTAATCTGTTCATTCATTGATTTGTACTAAGAAAAATATCCACTTAAAACGAACACATCGGTGTATTTCTGAGAGAAGCTGAAAAGGTCATGAAGAATGGAAATTTTTATTATATACTGAAAAGATAAAAGCGAAAAATTTCTTTACTTAACTCCTACTATTTAAACTGCTTAGTAATATGTATAAACAGTGCTTATTTAAGTGTTTTCTTTAATTTATCAGCAAGTGAACTATTACAGACTAGAATATAATATATAGCTGATATATAGTTGATATACTTCAATAGTGCATAACTACGAATCTATATGGAGTCAGACGTCGTAACTTGAAATCACACAAAAATCACATCGGTAGATTATTTAGCTATTTGTTGCTATTAGTACTAATCAATATGAGAAATATAATACGTATGAGCATTTTGATATTAAGGTTAAATAAGTTTTCTCATAGAACGTTTATTAATACGTATTCAGTCAAATATGAGTAATAATACTTTAACAATATAAAACAAAAGTAATTATTAATTGATTACTATTGTGGTGTGGTCTACTTATATCCATATAAGTAGTGTATGATGATGGTCAGACATAGAATGTATTTTGGTAGAAGACCGATAAGGAACGAACAGGAATGAAGCGCAGTCGGTATGAAAATGCATGAATAATGTAATCAGAGAAGATGGACTGATATTTGCAGAAGGAACAGTGAAGATTGAGACAATTGATTGTTATTTTGCAAATTAATTGTTTACTGTATGGTAATCGGAATTTAGTGATAGCCTGTAATTGGTGCTTACATGAATTCGATTGTCCCTAACTAGTGTTTTGTTCACTACATTATTACTATCACTGAATATTTTAACGAATAGTTGTTCTAATTAGAGTCCACAAAGAAGAAACTTCTAGATGATGATTATTGTTAATATTCAATTCAATATTGTGAGAAACATTTATGATATAATAGTCATAATGATGAATTGTACTTTCAAATGTATATATAGTTAAAAATTCATTCGAATCATTTTACATCATTATTATTTACATTCTGATATTTCTAGGTTGCTTCAGCTAAATCATATTTCATATGAACCAAAATAAGTATTGAATTTATGTACAAGGAAATTGTATTTAGTAGTAATTAATATTCTTATATCCATAGAAAAAGCCCCGTTTGTTTGTTAAATCAAAGATAATTACCAATAATTGAAAGTTTTAAGTCTTTATCTATCGACTTTTGTCTTGACTGTTATTAACTCTTACCACTAGACGAAGTAAATCTTAAAGTCATGCACGTAAACTTATGTTTGGTTAATTAGTGACATTGAATTAAAATAGATATTGTTAATAATTCACAACTATTTTTTATAAAAAAATCTTCACTGACTTCAGCTTTATATTTTAATTTTTATTAACGTATACCTATTGAGGTTCTTCTCGTTATACGGCTAAATATGCCATAGTATTGAGTTGCTTGCATGTTTTTAACTTAATTAATCAGTTTACTATTTCTTCTTTTTTCACTAGTCTCATATTATTTCAAATAGCTATCAGAGTGTATAAAGTTAAGTTGTTCACTTTTAACTAGAACACAGTTGTTTGTAAACTTTTTAACAATAATCTAGATTACTTGTGTCCCTTTCAAAAAAAACACATCTTTTCTCTCTTTTTCTTCTTTTATTAAGTACTGGATTGGTGAAGAAACCACTACAAAACAAGCTTTTCATAGTGCAGAAGCTATTCAAGTAAGTATTTTGTTTGCCATATCACTGTGTAAAACGGAATTCATAAAAAAACGAGTACAATCGATCGGCTTTTTAAACCTAGTATAAACAAAGACAGAAACGAGAATGAAAATTTAGTCTACATTTAAAAAATTTTCCGCTGTATCGTATATATATATATATATTTATGTTGATGAATTATTAGTGAGTATCTGTGAGGTCGTGAAACAGTATTATATAATTTTAAAGCCAAAACATAAAACATACTGGGAAATTAACTTTGACAACCTAGTGACAATCGTTTCTAGGTCAATAAAAAGTGATGCATCTATACAAATCGACTGTTGGACTAGTTAAGTGATTGTAGGTTGCTTAAGAAAAATCTTCCGACGGAGTTTACCATGACTAAATAAAAGTCATATTAGCTATTAATGTCTTTTGTCTGGTAAAGTAAAAATTGATAACAATTGCTAAGCACTGAAGTGTGAGTTAACTGTTAGGAATTTTAATCTTGCTATTAGTAAAATATAGGTAACTAGTGAATAATAAATAAAATAAACTGAATATATATATATATATATATATATATATATATATATATATATATATATATATACTACACAATGTACTCAAATCAGTTAGAGAATCTCTAATATCCAGGGAGTACTGGATAGATGTTTCGATATGAGGCTGAAAAACAGTTCACTTGTAAACTCATTGGAGATTAGCCATTGGAAATTCAGGTTTTGTATCAAGTACTTACTTTTTGGACAATGATTTAGTTTCTCATTATTCCCGATTGCATGTGACAGTTATCTAGGGCCATAGGTAGGTAACTACCTAACTTTCTATATACGGTTGAACTTCTGCAATCACCAATTCTTTACAAAACTGTAGTAATACATGAGGCCGTTAGTCACCATTGAACATATGTTTATTGTTTCTTCAAATGGATTATCGAGATTGGTAAAATTTGTTGGTCCGTTAAAATTTATTCAAGTACACTAAACAAAACTAGTGATTTGTTAACCACAGGTCATATTTGAAACTAAATGAAACTCTAGAGTTTCTTATTTCATTCAACTATCAAAGTCCGTATAGCTTATAACCTCATTTGACTAAAAAAGCGGATATTTTGTAATAATTTTCTTATCTTATTGATAGTTCGCAGGTAGCCTTAAACTAACTATTCGTTTTGATAACTTACAAAAATTGCTTCAAAATTATGGAAAGATTGATACCAGTTACCTAAAAGTTCTTGGTAGTTACTAACAAAGTATTTCTGGTAAGAGCTTGAACAGATTCATTCAAGCTCTTCACTTTGTATTATAACTATGTTTGTTACTAATCTAAGTAATTGACTATTGTAACTGTTGGTGTCTAGCGTCGACTTATTTTGGACGCTAAAAGAGCATAGAGAGCAACGTGAATAAGGAAAGCTGAAAATGAGAAGAACAGGAGAAAAAATGACCCAACTATTCCGTAAGCGCACAGAATGTATTTACATTTCATTACAAAAGCAATCTGTAGCATTCATCAATAACACAAATGTAAGATAAGGACAATTTAATAACAGAAATTGGAAACTGACAGCGTAAGGTTTATAATGAGTTTTCGTATACATTGAAAATTAAGGTATGGTGATTGATCACCTTTCCTCGAAATATATCTACTAGAATTCATTAGCAAATATAATCTATCGTTATTAACATATCTACATTGGAAATTGAATGACAGACATATTAACAATACTATAAAGTCCACTGGGTTTTTTTTCTTGAAACTAACGCAACTTTAGTTAGTGATATAAACAAAAACCAATTAATGATTAACCTTTTTATCAAAACATTCGATCTGTTTTTTCAAACGATTATTATTATTGTATATGATTGTATTGATGTTTTTATATATTGATTTTTTGTTAGACAATGTTGAATAATATTGATACCAGTGGTTTTCCAGAATGGCGTGATTATTTGTTTATACGTAAACCTGGTGATAAATCATGGTCACGTCGTTTATGTGTTTTAAGAAGTTCCGGATTGTACACTTCAAATAAGAATAAAAAGTCTTTCTCAGTAAGTACACATTATAAATGTTCTAAATATTGTTAAATTTCTTAATTAATAGAACATAATAAGAATCGCTCTCTATATTTACTGAACATTTCATATTTTCAAGGTGTAGCTCTTAAAACATACGGCTAACAAACACTATATATGCAGTTAGCAGGTAAATATCAATATAGAATCTGGCAGAAGTGTAGATTGTCTCAAACTAATACACTGCATCAGAAAATTAATATGAGGTTAACAAGACGTATGGCAATAAATCAAAATAATAATAGTTTCAATACGGATAGTGTCATCGATGTAATACATTAGTAATAATTGTTAACATATGAAATAAAGTAATGTACTCATTGTAGGTGTCATTACCAAGGTTTGACTTGATAATTTCAGATATATTATTTTTATCCGTAATGTATTCATTGTTTCTCGACTATCAGTTTGTGATTCTGCAAACTTACTTGTTTCATAAATTCAGAAAACATCGAGAGAATTCAATCCCGGTTATCATGAAAAGTATTTTTAGGCTATGCAGCAGGAATCAAATGAAATTATTTCATTTCATTTATTTACCAATAATTTCCTACTCTTTTTAATGACAGGGACAATAGTGACTGGTAGTTTGATCAATGTATTATACTATCACAAGCATTCGGATTACAATCAAGACTATATTGTTCGTTACCAATGTATTATCCATACTTCCGTCTTTGTAAATACTGAATAATAATTGTAATAACTCTAATTTTTTAGAGCAATCACGTTTATTGAGACCATTTAGCATAAATTGTCAATAAATTCAAAGAAAAAATACAACCAATGTTAAAAAGTTTAGTTACTTTCCAATAACGAATAGTTCCTTGGCAGCGTCTGTGACTGTGAAACGAAAGGACATGAGTTCTAATTCCACTAAGAGTATTATATCCTACGAGACAATTAATATAACTATATTATATATACCAACTAACATAGGTCTTAGGCCAAGTGAATCTATTTGATAATTTCTAACTTCCTGACATCCAAACACACTCCGATGTATATTCTGTTATTCACTGAAAATATTTTCATTGCCAGTGTACATAGGTGACTAATTTACATTTACATAGATGTTAAACATCTGAATTTTTTATTTTGCTAGTAATCCAGTCATGATACAACTGTTCATTCAGCTTTAATCATTACCATAGCATATATGTACTATTTATTTTATTTGCACTTTTAAATAACAGTCTACAGATCTTATTCGTATTCTGGTACTGGATGGACCTTTAAAACTTTACACAACTACAGGAGGTTGGTCGCGGATGCGTGCACCTACTCCACACGGTTTCGCCTTCAAGGTGAGAATTCTAATCTATTTTGTTTTATTTCTTTTGTAAACCAACTATCAGTAAGATGAATTGGGTATATTCATTCTATTTTTGTTAGTGAAAATTAAATCATTGTACAAAATTGAATTGTTGACTTTCTGTGTAGAAATGCTCTAATGTTTATGACACGTCGCGATAGGTAATCGGTCTGCGAATTTTAATGATAGTTTTAAATATAATAACGTAACATGCTTATTTGAATTCAGTTGTATATATGTGATGTGTGATCACTGAGTACTGATCAATATTATATCTGTTTTATCCTTTGGATAGCGAACAAATAGCAACCAAGTTGAGCTGTGACGACTAGTCTAAGTGACTTGATATCACCTCCACTATGCTGCGATGTTAGTAGACTTAAAGCAACATCTCATTCTGTGACGCGTGATTGAATCCTTCAGGGGGCGTCAATATACTCAAGATTACGGTTACTCCTTTCTGACGAGTAACAAATGACATGAAACCTATGTCCAGGACTTTGTGTTTAATATTCTCAACCACCTAGTAGTTAAAATACTTTACAGGGAGCTTAAAACTTCAATGATCAATATGAGCTGGATGATGGTTAATGAGAGAAAAAAAAGGAGACCAAAGCCACGATTCCATACATACGGTCTACCATAAAACTTCAACGTTCTTGCTCTTTGAATGAATTGAATCTAATATTTTCTATAAATGTAGTCATCTCTAATTTACACCCAAAAAAGTGTAAGTGAATACTGTACAAATTCATACAATCTGGATACTTAACATCATGCATAGATCACATGTATGTACCTCTGGATGAACAAAATCGATATGAGTTATTAAATGAGATTCAATGATTGTGAAATTTCATACTAATCATGATTTTTTAAATATTTCTACTATTGCAACCTATAAATTCGATACAGTGTTAACATAATCTAGCATTATAAATACCAAGAAACAAACGTTTTTCCAATAGGTTGGTTTTAAGATATCCTTACCCAATGGACATTTCCAGCATGACCTAATGACAGAATTCGATAATACAGATCATAAATTTCAGTCTTAATTTGATAGTGAATCTAGTATGATAAAGATTAACTGGTAACTTAACCGATTCCACCCATTCATTGATAATTATGAACTCAATGGAAAGAGATCTTTGAAGAAAATAACTGTCATTAAAGTTAGGGAAGTTTTAAAATGACGAATTCACACAAATAATATAAATATTAAACTTCAAGACATCCAAATCTTTTTTAATAAGAGAGGAATAATTCAAATGATCAGCAAATGTAATTATTTATCACTTAACATGATTCGCTTTAATCAAGTAAATACTCATAATCTCTAAAGATTAAATGTCAATAATGTGACTTCTGTTTTAATTCATGGTAAAATAAGAATGTCTACTAGAGAAATTGTTTGATAATGTATACACTGTTCCCCATTTCAGCCTTATTCTGCGCAAGATCCTTCTTCTACACATGTGTTTTGCTTTTGTGCAACAGATGAGAAAGCATTACGTCATTGGGTTAGTCGACTACGTGTTGCCAAAGTAAGTGGGTTAGTGGATGAGTTAGAAAAATTAATGAGAAGTGGTTTTGTTACTTTATGACTTAATTAGTCGGCTTTCCTAAATCCTCATCAAAAGTTGTTTTTATCAGCCTTTTTTTCATTTAAGTTTATTTGATTTTCAACAGTAAATTCAGACATTATGAAAACTATACTTCATTAGGACAGTGGTCTGTGGAGATTGTTGTGCTTGAATTTAGTATTATTAATGGATTGACATCAGTTGCAGCAGCATTGAAAATCAAGAAACCCTGGACATATACTTTCTCTTAGTATAGAATATCAGAAACGAACACCCTTGACCGGCATCTAGGCTCGTGACTTTGGGTCTTAGATTAAGACAAAATTTCTGTCCACCGCTATCAATGAACCTCCAGTCAATTTCAGCTTATGATAAAAATTAGCTTTCCATTAGACTCTCAGTATATATGGTAACAAAAATACTGCCACTTTCTACTACTTTAGATTAGCGACCACATGACAAATATGATTGATGCTAAGATCTTGACAACACGATAGTGATTACCACCAATATGAAAAATTGGACGTATAGGAGCAGTGTTATAAACAGATAAGCACAACTATTTATTCGTAACAAATGACCAACATATATATATATATAAGTCTAGCCATATATAGTTATCTACATTTTAATCCATGATGTTTTAGTGTGATATTTGTATGTATATATCATCATATTTTTATTTTCTAGTACGGAAGAAAACTACTGACCGATTACCATATGGCACTTAGCCGAGTTCACCAACTGATTAGTCTACGCACTCAACTAAGTATTAATCCCAACCGTTCAAGTAATAATATGATAAATTTGAACTTACAACCGAAATCATCTTTTGATTATCTTTCACAATCGTCATCATCAATACATGTCCCAACAGCCAGTTCTACACGAAGTCTTTTAACTGCTAGTTCTTCTCCATCAGTTTTCCCACGAGGCGATCCACGCTACTCAGAAAATCAACATCAACAACAACATTCATGTAGTAGACAATCATTACATCCAAATATTCAGTCATCATATTCACCACGTCCTGTTTCTCCTTTAAGTATGAGAGCAAGAATGATAACTAATTCTGAGCATCCTTGCCTTATAAACATGAATCATTCTTCAAGACAACTTAAAAACCAAGACAAATTCCCTCCAATTATACATAATTCATCGGATAGATATAAATGATTAATATATTTTAACACTTCAGTCGTTATATCAGTTAATTTTTAAAAATTCTCTAGATTTAAACAATGATAGAACCATAATATCAAATGCATAATTTAAATAGAACCCATACTTTTCAGCTGAGACTAACAAATTTCGCACAAAAATACATTGAAGAAAATCTGTTTGTACTGACGAGAGAAAAAAGTTGATATAAGTAAATCGTTACTTTTTTTTTACGTGATCTTTCTTTTATTATTTATGATGACGACTAACACTATTTCGTTATTCATAAATCTTCTTACAAATACGATTAATCCTGTTATAATCATCAACACCAATATTCAATCAGATTTAAGTATTAGAGCATTTTTTTTTTCGAGATATTAGAGAAATCGCTGTTTCTATCTTATTCTACGTACATACAATATTTTTTTTTCTTTCTATATAAAACATGAAGTTTGTGATTAATAACAGTATTATAATAATTTAATTATTATTAAAGATATACTTTTAGCAAAAGAATCTAACCTAAAATATCGAGGACTCGGGTATTTTTTATCTTAAACAATTATATATAAAATTCTTTACATGAAGTGGACAATATAATAAAAATTTGGCGCCGATTTGTTTGTTACTTTCTTTTTCCTACTGAATACTAATTAACCTTTTAATTATAAATATTTTCTCTTATCCTTGATTACTATCAATGTGTATTATTGTACTCTCAGTTTACATCTTTTTTTTTTCATAAATTTATTGTTTACTGCTGAGATCTAATTTCAATTGTATATTTATAGTTCAATGGAAATTAATCGACGTTGATAGAGTTAGACTGTTATTAATTGATACATATATAAATATTTAAACAATGTATAACATAAATCAACTTAAAATGATATTGTGATTATTATTATTATTAATATAGACTCTATTTCCAGCAGGTCCATTGTTTCCGAAGACACATAAGTGAATAAACGTAATGGACAAAGAGTATTCATAGTTTCCTTTTTTTTTAAAAAAAAAAAAATAAATAAATAAAACATCTATAGCATTTAGATATTGTTTATTTAGCTTTTTCTTTTCTCCCTATTTAATGTACAGCCTTATTGTTCAAAAATTAACAAACAAATAAATTAGTGGTCGAATAAGAATTTGATACTAATCGTATTTTTGTATGTTTATAGGTAGTATGACGTGATAAGTTGCTAGGATTAGAGTATATTATTACAAAGCACAGAATAATAGTAGATACTTAGTCATTTACCTTCGCTATTTTGTGAATAACTTAAAATGACTTTGATTCGTAAAATGAATGAAGTATGGTCTAGTGAATTTCAAATCAGTGATCTGAACCTATCCCTCACATCGAAAATCAAGACGCCTATTCCATATCTAGTGAGCTGATGGGTTAACACTGCTGAGTTACAAACTACAAAATGGTTTCATAATGCTTTCTTGCTAACAGGCTGATGTCAAATTATGGTGAAAACTCTTTCTGTATTGAACTAATCGTCACAGTTCATCTTATTAAATGTTAGATTTATGTTGATGGAAATTTTAATATGCAATGAATCCATTGCATATTAACTTTAAGTTGTTAAACTCCCCTCATTTCCCTAAACCTTAAGGGATACATACTCATTTGAAATTATTTGCTGTACTATATTATTCATCATTACATTTCATTAAAAAGGGTATTTTGAAGATACAAAATCAGCATTTTCGCGACAGGATAGTGTTGCAATATTTGAGTTAGGCCACAAAGTTCATAAAAACCAGTCAACTTATTATCAATGCTTACGAGGTTTAAGTTAATTGAATTACCTTCTTCTCCAGGTAATTGAATATGAACCACACTGTGTGAGGGTTAACGATACAATCCGGATGCCCAAACCGAAATAGACTGGAAGTCCAAATTTGGGGATTATTGGCCGAAAGTTGAACCAATAAGCTACCGCTTCACTAATCATGTAGACAAAAAAGTAGTTCCTACTGTTGGATATCAAACAAACCCATTAAAATTATAGAATTGTAGCAACTGACGTTTGAGTTCCCTCCCTTATGTTTCAACATTCTAATTCCGGTTAATTTGTTTTTTACTCTCACAAGCTCATAATAAAAACATGGCAAATTTCTGAACAAACTCGAAGTAAATCTAAAACAGTGATATGACTAACTTATAATTTCGTGTGAATTACTATGATAAAATCAAATATAAATGCATTGTAAATCGAAAACAAGACTAGATAGTATAGTTTGAAAAAGAAAAGTCTACATCACGTGGCACTAAGAATCCGTTACAAATGCTACAGTGGATTTTAGATCATTGCTATGGAACTGCTGAAGAATTGATTTGTACAACAATGAGAAGATAACAGTATGAAGGTTGTTGAATTTTATTGAGATTACGAACCGCTCCATGTTGCACAACCATTGAAAATTTGGGAGCACTAGTGCTTCCACGTTTCCCAGTGAAGAAACAGTTCGAAAAATGTGTAGATTATTTGGGAGCATTAAAAGCTCCTAAAGATAAAAAAGATCCAATCCTCAGAAAGTTTCCATGATGTTGAACAAGCAAATATATTATCAAATCCTCTCAGTTGCTCACAATTTCCCAACCAGTTGAAAACTGGAGTTTCCTATCCATACAAATATATTTGACTTATTGAAAGCTTCCGTATCTACAAGTTTTAAATATATACAAAACCAAGTTTTACTTTATTAAAACTAATCCAGAACATCTGAAATTTAAGGACTGTGATAAGTTTGACTAAATGCCTAAAAAAGTTATAACATTACAATCCTATTCCACCAGTAGTAGTACTATCACGAATCATACACACGAGGATACTTGGTCATACATACACGACTACTGATGATTTTCTGTTAACTTTAATTGAAGTGTGTAGTGAAGTGTGTATCTAATTAAAAACAAGAAAAAAAACGTTTGTTTTGAAAATTATATTACAAGTAAGAAGTAAGTTTTAAAAGAACATCGCTGGGACTGTACAAGTAACGAAATAATACAAACAAATTGATGTTAGGGATGTCATAAGTATGCATTACAATGTATTAAAGTGCTAATTCCAAAAATTTTTGGCAAGCAGTACACTTGCACCATAATTTTGTTAAGAGCAATGATTAGAAGCCCCACTTAGAAGGATAAAATGTTTAAAGTCAGTTGAAAGAACTTAGAATGCAACATAAGTGTACAGTAGGGAGGAAGTATTTACAGTAGTTGAAATTTGAGCTGCAGTCGATCTATTATGTATTGGGGCATGCATAATACTGGATTAACAGTCTTCAACTTATTTCTAGCCGTTTGTAAAGCAACAAAGGCTGGATCTTCCACACCATTTAATCCATTTTCCATTTTCTTTGATAAGGAAAAATATGAGTCAACCTGGGCTAATAAAGAGAGACCAGCAAGACCAAATAAAGTATGAAATGGGTCAGGAATATTTCCGGGTTTATCTGCTATACCGCCAGTTTGGTCATCTTGAGAAGCTAAGATGAACCGAGTAAGGTCAGTTTGCTTAATCCATGTCAAACGACCAAAAATAGCAAGAGTAGCTACAGTCCACCTAGGAAATATAAAAGTACGAAAATGAGCCTGATAATGATACAAAACTTGGTATTGTAAACGCAAACAAAACTGACGTAAAAATTAATAGGAAACCGAACTCAAACAAAAGGAATAAGGATTTGTATGATATTCGAAAACTATATGAAACACTGACATTCGATGTATCGTTAAGCCATTCTAAATTTATCCCATTTGTTTTACAAAGTGAGGAAATTGTTTGTGCATTTCAAAGCCACTTCTCTGTTAATTGATACGACGTAGCCAAACATCCGACAGTTCCTACATTAATTTACACTTTTGCAACAACTCTTGATATTATGAAGCACAGTGAAGATGTAATCTACAGGTTACAACAGTTGACAACATGAATAAATTAATATATTTGTAGTATCCCGATAAGTAGAAAAATTAAATTTTCTGACGTTTCGTGACTCGGTGTAAGCCACTTCTTCAAAGGATAAATAATCAGATCACAATTAATCCAAGTTTAAAAAGCACAACGGATCAACACAAGAATATTATGTGCGATCAATCAAAAGACAGGTCTGAACAAATCAATATCATGTCAAAATGTTTCAGATTCATACTCCAACTTACTTCAGTTTAGAAGACCAAATAACATCACTACCTCTAAAAGAAATAGTATAACTAAAACCAGAATGTAATCCATGCTATCAAGATACTCTTCACTAGTACGAAATTGGCTAATTCAAGTCAAATACTAAAAAAACGTCATGTTCATATATTTTAGTTATATTTTTGTAAATATGCATATTGCAGCAATTGAGTAATGCCAATGAAAACTGAACAAATAAGTACCATTGGGAGTAATTATACATTAGCCTATTCAACTATCTAACTTATATGAACATTCATCAAGAGTAGAACGAATGGCATGACGAAAATTGCGTAACGAGTATAGAGGAGTCATTCTATGTAGAAATTATATTTGAAATAATCTCAGCGATTGAAATTTAAATAATTCCAACGTCTCGCTCAGCTAACTTGTTTGGACTTCTTCAGGGTAATAATCAAAATCATCAAAGAATTATATAGCGTTTTTTAACAATCATATCAAATCTATGCTATGTTAAACCAATCATATTTGGATGTTGAATTTACTAATATGAGTCAGTTTAACATAAAGATTTGATATGATTGTTAAAAAACGCCATATAATTCTTTGATGATTTTGATTATTACCCTGAAGAAGTCCAGACAAGTTAGCTGGACGAAACGTTGGAATTATTCAAATTTCAATCGCTGAGATTATTTCAAATATAATATTCATGTATAACGGCGTTTATCTAACTGTTTATTCCCCTTACATATGTAATGAGTAGATACTTTATATGAGGTTTACAGCTGAGAATTTGAAATACACATCATGTACGTTTTTCGGAATATCATACATAGCATAAATGGATAACAATTTATTTAAGTGAAAACGCTGCTAAGCTTACCATGAATAGCACACATCAGGGTGTTTTTCCGGTCTTCCATTTAAACCTCCGCTAGGAAGCTGACGTTCGGCCAGCCACCAAGCGGCGCGGTCTATATTTAACCGATGTAGTTGACGAAGTATAGCCAGAGCTCCCACGACACAATATGCTTGGCCTGCATGAGATTCACTTCCAGGTCGAGTTCCGAAACATCCATCCAAATTTTGACACTTTTCAAGGTATGAAGCACAAGCTTCAATATCAATAGTACTTTTGGAAAGCATTCCAAGTATATGCAGTGTAGCAACGGCACAAAATGAAAAACGAGTGTCGATTTCCCCCCAAATATCTCCAGCGAAACTTCCATCTGGTTGCTGTCGAAGCATTAAGGACATTTATTAACACGCGAAGTTATGATCGTAAAATGAAGCAGTTTTTTTTAAAAACTACCTTTTATACAGTCAAGAAAGCTCTCGCCATAACCCAAACAGACAGAGAAAGGGGAAACATTGAGTGTGCCAATGACTGAAAACACAGTTGCATTAAAAAAGATTGGAAAAGAACAGTCTCAAATCCCCAGTTTGTTCCTTAAAGCCAACTCTTGACTTGTAAGACGGACTAAATTATGATAAATTTTAGTCAGTACAGTGGATCTTAGTAGCATTAGCTTCATTCAATTAGACAATCTTCATTTTTCTTCACTATAATCATATGTGAAATATTTAACGATATATTAAAACTGGAACTTCACGTAATTGTGATATTATTAATAAAAAGTAAGAAATTATTAGTCATGAGAATTCTGTCCTACAATGGTGACATTCCAATCGCTTGTACACAGAACTTCTAGGTGACTAACAGAATTATTATATTAATGAGAGAATGGAGAGCCTTGTTATTGATGCCGAAAACAGCGACTTACTGATTATGTATGGAATTAAATGTCAAAGATAAAAAGTCATAGGACATATGAAAGCTATAAATCGTTTCTGAACTTCCAGCTAAGATGCTGCCTGGTCATCTATTAGATGGTAAATATAGAAGTACTTTAATTAACACCGGAAAAGTTTGATTTCATTTTACACTTACCATAACCAATGTGCTTGGAAAGTATCTACAAGACAGGATAGACTAGTCAGCCGTCACTAGTAAGTAGAGATGAAATGTTACAAGATTGTACTTAGATTTGCACTATTGGCAACATCTTACGATTTAATTCCATTCTTAAGCCATTTACTGCTTTTTCCGTTGAAGAGATATCTGAAGTGAATCGACTTTCCAGGTAATAAGATTGTACTATCAAACAGCATAGCAGCTGAAGCACTGAAGTCAGACAGAAGTAGTTCCAAGGATCCTCCACATTCCCTTCAGGGAGATTTGAAAAGAACAGTCAGTCATCTACAACGTAGGACCAGACATATACCCATCGGTCAGACTTGCCATACCTCATTAGCACAACATGATAAACACCAAATTCATAGAATTAGTCACTTCAATGGTAGTAATACATAAAAAATAATTGCATATAAGAATATGATACATGGAGAAGGAATTACTTCGTGGAAAGAAGGATATAAAGTAATTCTAACCTGATGGTTTAAGGGCAGACAAAGAGTGTATACACCTACGTCATTGTAATAGATTGAGCTGTCACCCAGAACCTCCAACCATTAGATACGATAGTCGCGTGGACCCCAACCAAGTAGTTCGCATCTATCAACATGGCTCAGACCGGAAATTAGTGACTTTATGGACTGAAACCACGTTTTGGTTTGGTCCCCCCTAACTTTCTTTCATCCGTCTTTAACACTAGACAGTATTGTATGTCGTCGTAATCGGTGTTTAGGTATACGTAACACGCAGCCCGAACACCTCACTTGATCAAGATCTACAACCTCATCAACTGATTTACTATCATTCCTTAATACCCTGCGTGTAACAACACTATTACTTGCCCGGTGATCCCAGTAGATGCGAGCAATATTTCTAAGATGTCTGTGATCAAATAATATAACCTACGAGTGTCCTCTATCCTTAATGGTCACGTCTCGCAACCGTAAAGTAAGACAGAACGAACGGCTGAACAGTATGCTCGTCCTCCAAATAGACGGATATCTCACCTTTGCCATAGGTAACGTAAGTTGGCAAAAGTAAGATGAGCTATTTAAATCCGTGAAGAGATTTCGTCAGACACCAACCCATTAGGGATGATCAGACTTCCAAGATAAGTTTTGTCGACGCATCCGACTAATTGACTCCCTATCCTTAGTTCAGGTGTTGAGGCAGGTCAGTTCTGAATCAGCAATTTACATTCAAAGGAGGAGAAACTTATCTCAAACATTATGGCATTGCACCAGAAGACTGGAAGAAAGGATACTTCATTTGTATGCCAAAGAAAGGTCTCAACAACTATGAGAGCTACAGAGGCATCACACTACTATCAGTACGAGCATTAAGGAAAACTTGTAAACTCGTACACATCTCACCTGTAATTTGGAGACAAACGCGCACACGGCCTCAACATTCACTTTGTTTAAGCTGTCATACATTGCAAGTATTTGGATAGCGCTTAAAGTTGAGAGCAGATGGGCATCATGTTTAGGGCAAGGAGCGAATCCACCACATTGTTTCTGACAACTCAATACGAAGTCAACTATTTCATCCCCATCTACTTCTGACAGTGCATCGAGCAAGTCAAGAGCAGTAAGAACCCAATAGATTCCAGACATTCTGCAATAATCTAAAGTGCTGTCATTTTCGCTTTTGCATCTAACTAAGAATTTCAAATGTTTTTGTAACAACAGCTCTTTTGGGCAGTCTTTCCCGAGACTTTCATCAATAATGGGGTGAGCCATTACTGTGACAGCGAAAAAGTCAAGACCTTTCAATATCGCCCGCCGTTTTGCTCCAACGACCTTGAAGGGCTTATTTTGAGGCAGCCAACCTGTATTTCAGTTGCTGTGGCTTTGTTGTATGTCCGTTGAGTCGCACAAATATCACAATTCATCACATATACATAGTCTTTTGTTATAGTTAAATCATGGAATCACTGAGGAAATCATTAGTTAAGTTTTCACTGATTTGTATTGTAACTGCTGGCTAGATTGCTGCTAAGTAACTTGACCTGGGATACCAGTTACTCTACTGAACCTCACCCTTTTCTTGAAACTTGATAAGAATAACATAACAGTTTTACATACACGGACTCTGTTTAGAACGCCATATCACGCAAAGTTTAAGACAAAATGTGAAGTAACTGGCAAGTTTCAAGCTCCCACCTAAAATGTTATTGATAACTACTGCTGCTAGTAAAGTACAATCGCAAGTAATAACGGTTTTTTGCTGTATAATTACTTAGTACTGTTTGTAGCGCCTAATGTTCAATAGATATCTCGGTCAACGTAAGCGAGGCGTTTCACCATATAGTACTGAAAGGTCGTTTCAAAAGCTGAATTGAATCCGATAGTATGCTAAATAAATTCCAAAAAGTGGGAAACAGTAACTTTAGCTCTTTACAGACTATCCATACTCTTTACGTTCATGACGAAAGTAAATTGCTGAAGGTCACGAGATTCAAGTTCATGATTGTGATGTTTCAGTGCACATTTAGTCGTAAACGTAAACCGCAAGGTCTGACAGTGAATGGGAAACTGTCAGAACTTCAAGCAACATGTGACCGTCAAGGTTTCAGCTTCATAATTGCCAATCAGCGTTCTGCGTAGCTTTGGACAGTGAAGAATATGTTATAAAATCATTCAAGATGTTTCACAATCATCCCTAAAGTAGCTCATGGGTGGTTTGTGATCCATGTACCTGACATTGTCTTCAGAAGATAAAGTTTTTGGCCGTTGTGTTGCAATCCCCATCAGTTGATGAAGAAGTAGAAAGTATTGGGGGTAGGAATGGTAAGCAGATCACTGCTGCTGATACGAAGACTAGGAAATCTCGATTCCCCACAGTCAAGTGTATATAAGCATATTGCAGGTTGTTTCACAATAACCAGTGACAGAACTCCGTCAATTCGTTCAACGGTATAGACTACATTTCTAGAAAAGTTTAAACCTTTCCATTAGTTGGCAGAAGTCATAAGTTGCATATCAGAAAACATATGGATAGATTCCCAGCTTAATCAATGAAAATCTAGAAAACAATAAACCAGTCATTAAAAAAACAGTTTAACTTCGTTATGAGTATCAAAGTCAATACGTAAATGGAATAGTAGCTAACAGAATTCACTTGTAGGTGTCCTGTTGTAAATAATGCTCTTCAGTTTCCAACCCCCCTTGAAGTTCACCCAGTCATTTGGTACTTGTAAAAGAATTGCCTAGCAAACCGATTCAGAAACCTCAAGTAACACTAGTGAACAAGGACACGAGTGAGGACAATTGTATGTATTTAAGCACAAATTACAAACTATCTCACTAAAATCTGATAACCATAAAGTAAACAGCTGTTTGCAAAATAACGGTCAATTGTCTCAATCTTGATTGTTCCTTCTGTAAATATCAGTCCATAGTCTGTGATCTCATTGTTCATGCATTTTCATACCGATCGTGTTTCGTCCTTATTCTTTCTTTATCGATCTTCTGCCAAAATACTTTTATGCCTCACCCTCACCATGTACTCTTTTGTGGATATAAATGACCCTATGAAGCTAAGAGCGTAGTTTGTGAAGAAGTGCAACTTAACAGTCACTAACGGACAAACTTGCAGTTCACTAAATGAGAATGAAGCAGGCAACAACACTGCACTTGCAAACGGTTTACCTGGGTTGTGTAAGTTGAGTACTGTGATATGTACTTTGCTGGTATATATGTATCCCTTAAAACATTGTGAGTTAATTATTCCTCTTTTTCACACATTTCCATAGATATTGTGACATCATTTCCCAAGGCCTGTCTCAAATAAAATAGTTTGGTGTGGTAGGTCTGCATGTTTATTAGTGCTTTGGCATCGTTCACTGGAAACTTATTACAACTATTCTGAAGTTTATGACTAATAATTTGAAAACTTCATAACACCTTTCCATTGATTTATAGCATCAATCCGGACAGTACAACATCGTTAACGACAAGGAAAGGATGCAATTGTTAGTTATCTCGAGCACATGGTTGTTGAACAAGCAACCAGTCGACTGGGAACTTTTTCCTCGTAGTTAGGTAAATATTTATTGAGTACGTGCCCACAAAGCAGTTCATCCAAAACAGATGTTCTTTCCACGGCTTCCATCGACATGATAGCCGAAGTTCACTTGGTATTGTTTGGTTGAATCTTCCCACTGATGTTTAGGGCTGCAATTGATCAGTTTCTCATTGGCGTATGTGCATACTGTGAGTATTGCATCGATATAGACTTAACTGACAAGCATTATAAGCAAAGATGAATGCTGTTAACGACAGTTCAACACAACCCTGATGTACGAAACGGAGATAAAATAAGAAATGTCAAGTCGAAGACGGTAATTGTGAAAGGGCAATTTATTCGTACTTTTTTAAACTCCAGCAATGAATATCATTTGTAAAACACCAATCTTCTAATTACAGCCATGCCTATCTATCGTGTTCGTTATTACAGATGCTGGGAAGAAAGGGGCATATGGAATTGAGTTCATTTCACGAAGTTAACTGAAGAAAAATATGAATATATACTTAATAAATTGTGAGCACTTGTTATTATGTCAGTAGGCTTTTCTGAATAATTGGCAGTCTTGGGGTTTCTCCGAAAAATGTCCACGGGTTTCGCAGAAGTTCAAGAAAGCATTGTGGAGGACCAAAGATGTGTATAATGTCCTCTAAATGCGAAAAGATTATGTGGTTCAGTAACAGAAAGTATATGGGTTTCCCCAAAGTTGTTGAATATTTTGGGGGGTTTTGTGCTATTTCGCCAAAGTTTTCTATGGTGGCTTCTGGAAATTAGGAGATTATGCTCCGATACAACACTGCTACGTTTCTCTGTGGCTAAGGCATTGCTTGCTGATCAGTACTTTTCCCCAAACTGAGCTCTTAACTTTATCAGCCTTCTGTTAAACGTCGGACGAATAACATCAAAGACATTTCTATCTCGACAGGTAGGTGTATGAAGCGGTTTCCGTCCTTCGTCGTTGCAAGTAGCCCAAAATATCAGTGCCAAATCTCCGATGTGGACCTTATGTCGTCACTGGGTTAGCGGTGCGCGGAGTATTTGCTGAGTTGACTTCATGGAGTAACACGTGATACAGTGTTTGTGAAATTCCGCTACATCTTAGTGGATAGATGGCCACCAAAATCTTTCGAAAATTGTACGTTCGGTCTTCCATTTTTCTGAGTGCTCTCAATGTCGATGCATCTGCCCCATAATATCCCGAACTTGTGCATGTGGTACTATCGGCAAGGGCTGTTTTGACTCACTGACTAGAAGTAACGTCTCACCAAACAATCTCAGATTGTTCCACCTGGTACAAAGACAGCGCGTCGCTCAGAAATGATCCTCTAACTCTGCAATAGATGGTTTATTATTTCCATGCAGTTTTCTCTTATAAAGGAATCGCAGATCAGGGTCCGCCGCTCTCAGAGACGATCCGATGGTCTCAGGGCCTGTGCTAAGGACGGCAGTAATGATACCAGGAGAATAAGGCATACGGGATAGAGAATCAATGTTCGTATGTCAGCTTCCCAGTAAGAAACCACAAGTAAAATCGAACTCTCGCAACCTCTCCTGACGGAGCGCTACTTGACTTTCTTGCTCGAGAAGCGAACGAATCCATTGAAGCTCACGATGATCCTTGCGTTCACGAAAAAGGCGTCCTGGGAGGTAGTGAAGGAAATGCTGCAAAAAATTTCACCAGAGCTAGAATCTCTCGACGCGTTGCAGAATAACCTATTTCGCTCTCATTTAGCCGCCGATTAGCGTACTCTATGACCCGCTCCCATCCATCTTGTGCTATTTGAGACAGGACTGCTACGGTAGCTGACAAATTAGCATCCATATAAGGTATAAACACACACCCATTAGCCTAAGTGTCCAAAAAGCCAGTAAAGGTGGGGCAGTAAGATATTATTTATAGCGTTAAATGCCTATTTGTACTCATTGATTCACAAACATTTTCGTCCTTTTTGCGTCACGCGACTTAAAGATGCGACCAAAGATGTGAAACGTCCATTCTAGGAAACAAACCTCAGAAAGCTGCGGATATTTTTGACAGATTTCAGCTGTGGCCAGTTAATAATAGCGCTCCCTTTTTAATTATCTGTTCCTACTCGTTTACCCATAATGCGACGTATCACAAAGATCATCTCCTTCTGCAAAAGTAGACATCTAGATGGCTTCACTTTCAAATCGCTTTGCTTAAGACGTTGGAGAACTGCCCTCGAGTTGACATTATACCGTCCGAGCGTACTGTGATACACAATAATATCATCAAGGTATATTAGGCACATATTTGGTACCAGGTCAAGTGAAACCATCTGCAATAATTGTTGGAATGAGGCTGAGTTATTGGTTAGTCTGAAAAGTATCAGTTTATTTTCGTAGAGCCCATTTGTTATGAAAAATGAAGTTTTTCGTTCTGAGGGCGTACTTTCACCTACCAATATCCGGATGCCAGATCCAATCGAAAATCAGCAAGCTCCTTTCAAAACTTGCTGTTTTTGGTGCCGAGAAACACGGTGTTTGCCGGTTCTCAAGATTCAGTATGAGTAAAGATAACTCTTCCATAGTGGATATTGAAGCCATAGTATCAAGTAGGATAGTTGTTTCTACTATTTGCAAACTACCCCTTATTGTGATAGGATACACAGATTTGGAATAGTGTGAAGACAAGTGGTAAAAGCCAGTCTTACCATGGTTCCAGAATAAATTATACCCGCAATTCCGCGCTCTCCGGCTGAACCGCTGACAGTAGAAGCGTTGTGTCTTCTGGTCCTGATGACTGGTTCACAGCGATCGTCTGGCCAGCAAATATTTGACCGTTGAAACAGTTCGAGAGCTGTCAAACGCTTATGACGCCACAGCTTGTTCGATAGACATTACTGTCACGTGGGGTGTGCCTAAAAAATTTGATAGTTTGTCGGTGGCCATAAAACGAAAACCCGTAGTTTTTATACATTTTACTCTCGAGCGGAACTCATGGAAGGCATTGTTGGAGCGCACCATTGTCTTTTTGACGAGCTTATATAAAGGGATCGATTCCTTTTCCCTTTCTCCTTGTATTGAAACACAATGTGTACGTAATGACCTATATCATGGTGTAAATTAGTTAAGTCTGAATGTTATATTATGGGGTCTAATCAGTACGAACTTTTATTTATCAAAACACAACCATTCGTACTCAGTTTTAGGTTGTTCTGT